AAAAAAAAAAAAAAGGAAAAAAGAAAAAGAAAAAGAAATAAAAAGAAGATAATGGAATTATATCATATGCTTCAATGAAACTGAAAACCATTATTCCTCTTGATAACCAAACCCAGCAAAGTCAACCATTCCAGTGAATATTAAACACAAAAAGTATATTTTAGATGTATTATGAATCTGCTGCTAAGTCTTTAACTCATTGCTTTGTGAAGAGGAGCTCAGCAGTGGAGGGAGCTCAAATGAAATCACAGCCTCTGAAGACATTGAATTTCCCAGCGTTCATTGATTGAAAGCAGGCCTGTAACATTATTGAAATGGTTTCACTTAACCTCATTTCCCCGTTATTATTTTGTTATGCTTTTTGGGGAAGGTTATATAATACTTATTTACTCCTGTCAGTGATCCCTAGATGCCAGAAATGATTGAAGCCCCCTGTGATCCAGGCAGATGCAGGAGGCAACAGGAGCCAGGCTGGGTCCAACAGCCCCGTGTGTGGCCTGATCATTTCAAGGTGCTAAAGAGGGAAAAGACCAGATATTGCTGTAAAATATCCAGTGATGGATGAGATCCCACTAAACTGGGTGACACAGGAGCAGAACAAGGAGGACATTCCAGGCCCACAAGTGCCTGGAGCCGTTGGACTCTGAAAGATGCCATGAGCATCACAGGAAGAGCAAATGAGTTTGAGATTCTGTGAAAATGCAGCCTTTTTTGGGGTCTTAAGAGGGAATCTTGGGTCTCTTGAAGAGCCCGACTTCTCACACCCAGATCTGTGGAGCCATAAAGTGCTCCTACAATTTTGTGCTGGTGCTTTTTCACCTTTGAAATGTCAGAACAGATAGAAAAGACAGAATGATGATTATAAAACATGTTTTCAGCAAGGTACTTCTGGATAGAGATGTTGTTTCCCTTCACTGTTTTTCTCCTCACCCAGCAGATAAATATAACAATTTCCAAGCTATTTGGATTAACTAGAAATTAATTTTATTTCTTCTCCTTTTCCTTTCACTGAAAGAAAAACAACGGAACAAGCCGCTGTTTTGCATTGATGATACTTTCATTTCCCTTTCTTTCATTTTAAATCCCATTTTATTTTCAAATTAAAACAAGGCACAGCTAGAGAATAATTCCTCTCATTGGAACGTAGTCGCCAGAAATGGGAAGGAGAGATGTGCAGTTTGTGTTTCTGTATTGTGAAACCTGGCTGATGTGTCTACCTGAAGTATTGGTTTAAAAATTATCAAATTGTGATCTTTTTTACTTTTCTTAAATATAATTTCTTCATTTCACTCTGCATTATACCCATGAAAAATTGTCTGTGGCTCCACTAGAACTAATAGAGTTTTGAAAATGAACTAGTTACCTGAAAATGCATTTATTTTGGTTTGCAAAGTGCATACTATGAAAACACTGCCCTGAGTGTCCATGATGAGTGTTATTCTTATAATTCTGTGTTATTCAGTGAGTAACAATTGGATGAACAACTTGAGGATTGCTTCCCAACCATAATCTAACAAATCCAGCCAGAATTTTTGAAGAAAAGGCCAAAAAGCCTTGTTTCAGCAGTTTCCAGATACAAATAGTTTTGTTTCTAATGCAAACACTTCCAGGATTTATCCATAGCTCCTGATTTTGAGCAGGATGAGTAACAATTATGAGAGGGAGGGGCCCAGGTCCTGCCTACTAAAAATCCTGGGGACAGTGCATCCTTTAACCATTCCTTTCCTGCCACCCATCCTCTTGATTGTACTGTCAGACCTTTTTGCACCTCCTGCAACAGGTGGCAGCCAGGTGGGGGTCGGTCTCTTTTCCCAGGGGAGAAGCAACAGTATAAGAAGAAATGGCCTCAAGTTGCACCAGGGTAGTTTTAGATTGGTTATTAAGGAGAATTTCTGCTCTGAAAGGGTTGGCCAGCACTGGCACAGGCTGCCCAGGGTAGTTACTGGTGGAGTCCCCATTCCTGGGGGGCTTAGAAGCCCTGTGGGTGTGGCACTTGGGGACATGGGTTAGTGGTGGGCTTGGCAGTGCTGGGGGAATGGTTGGACTCAATGATCTTAGAGGGCTTTTCCAACCTAAACGATTCCATGATTCTATGATTCTAATTAGTCTCATTTGCTGACACACAAGCCTTTAATTGCAAGTTGAATAATTAGACATATCTGCATATGCAAATGAATAGGGTTATACTATGTCACTCAACATGATTTCTCTGGAGACAAATAGCTCTCTATATTTCAGGAGAGAATATGATATATTAATTTACTTAGACAAATAACTTTATTTAGAACGAGCCGCTCTCGTGTTTGTTTATATAAAGCAATAAGAGAAGAAATAGGAGAGATTTTATGTGGAAGGAAACAGCTGGAAGATACTAATTTATAGCGGGGGGGAGGCGGGAAATCCTTGCAAACCGTAATGCTTCTGTGCAGTGAGAGATGGGAGCAGGGAACTTCTCTGGGCAGGAACTTGCTCCTGGGGGGTCGGGAGCTGCAGCACGGGGCTGTGGCCTCACTGGGACCACCGCTCCCATCCCGTGCATCCCGACCTCCTTCCATCCTCCCGGCAATTCTGCATCCCGGTCCTGCGCTGGCAGCGCTCGGCGTTGTTCCCCATCCAGATGGCCGCTGCGGCAGGCACGGGCGCACGCCGGGATGCTCAGCCCTCCTCCGCCTGCGTGCGGCCCGAATCCTCCTCAGGCAGCAGCGAGGGGGGCTGCGGTGCCGGGCACCCCGCTTTGGGCGAGGAACGGGCCAGCACTCGCCGGAGCCCACGGGCCAATTCCCACCGCGCTCCCAACGCGCCGTGCGGGCCGGGACACGGCAGGAGGGGGAATCCCAGGCTGGTCATTTGGGGTGGGGGCTTGGAAAAACCGCACGGGGGAAGGAGGGGGAGCAGCAGCTGCGAGCAGAGCACGTGGGAGCGGTGATGGCATTTGGGAGCAGGGATATTTGGAGGCGGGGATGTTGGGAGCGGGGATGTCGGGAAGCAGCACATGTTTGGAAGAAGGGATGCTCGGAAGCGGGGATATTTCCATTCCTGCCGGCATTGCCCCCGGCCCGGCCCGGTGTTAAGGTAATACCCAGCACAGAATGGAAATCTGCTCCGCGCCCCGGCCGCTTCCCGAGTAACGCGGAGCCGGACCGGGGACGAGGATAGCGCCGGCGCTGCTCGCTCGGGACTGTGCTCCAGCCCCGGCGGCGGGGCAGCCCCACGGAGCCGCGGTGGGACCCTCCGGCCTCCCCGGTCCCCCTCTGCCTCCCTCTGGCCCCCCGGTACCCCCGGTTCCCCAGGTACCCCCTGTTCCCCGGTTCCCCCGGTTCCCTGGTCCCCCGGTTCTCCAGGTACTCCCGGTTACCCCAGTTCCCCAGGTATCCCCGGTTCCCGGTTCCCCAGTTCCCCGGTTGCCCCGGTACCCCCGGTTCCCCAGGTACCCCTTATTCCCCGGTTCCCCCGGTACCCCCGGTTCCCCCGATTCCCCGGTTCCCCCGGTACTCCCTGTTCCCCAGGTACCCCCGGTTCCCCGGTTCCCCCGGTACCCCTGGTTCCCCTGATTCCCCGGTTTCCCCGGTTCCTGGTTCCTGGTTCCCCAGGTACCCCTGGTTCCCCTGATTCCCCGGTTCCCCGGTTCCCGGTTCCCCGGTTCCCCTGATTCCCCGGTTCCCCGGTTCCCGGTTCCCCGGTTCCCGGTTCCCGGTTCCCCGAGCCGCCGCTCCGCCCGCGCCGTTACCGCGGCAACCGCGGCGGCTGCAGGGGCGCGCGGCGCCGGCAGGGGGCAGCACCCGCACGGGCCTGCCCGGGGCGGCGGCAGCGGGAAACGGATCGGGAGCGGGAATGGGAACGGGAATGGGAACGGGAACGGGAACGGGAATGGGAACGGGAATGGGAATGGGAACGGGGATGGAAACGGGAACGGGGATGGGAATGGGAATGGGGATGGGAATGGGAATGGGGATGGGGATGGGAACGGGAATGGGAACGGGAATGGGAACGGGAACGGGGATGGGAATGGGAATGGGGATGGGAATGGGAATGGGGATGGGGATGGGAACGGGAATGGGAATGGGAATGGGAATGGGAACGGGAATGGGAATGGGAACGGGGATGGGAATGGGAATGGGAATGGGAATGGGAACGGGAATGGGAA